CCCCGGGGCTGTTCCGTGCCCGGCCCCGCTCCCTGCAGCCCCGGGGCTGTTCCGTGCCCGGCCCCGCTCCCTGCAGCCCCGGGGCTGTTCCGTGCCCGGCCCCGCTCCCTGCAGCCCAGGGCTCTCCCGAGGGGCTGCACCTCGGCCGGCAGCTCCAGAGGCTCATGTGGCACTGCTGGGTGTGCAAACGCTGCCAGGGCTTGTGCTCGGCTTTGTGCTCGGCTTTGTTCTCGGGCTGGCCACAGGGACACCTCAGCCGCACCCAAACCTTGGGAAAACGGGAATCGGGTTCCAGCGGGGTCCCAGGCTGAGCTCCCCATCACTCCTCAGTGAACAAAGCTCAGCCTGAGCTCCTCCGAGTGTCCCAGCCAGGGGCAGGGGACGTGGTGAGGCACCGAGGAGATGTGGGACACCGGGATGCCCCCAAAATCCTCATCACATTTTCCAGTGCGAGCAGGGAAAAGGCAGGGTTCATGTCCCTGGCGCTCAGGGATGCAGCACCAAAGAGGCCTCTCCTGCTCCCGGAGCATCCTCCATCCCTGCAAGGGTCCAGATGTGGCACTGGGAGGTACAGTTTAGTGGGAATGGGGGTGCTCAGTCCAAGGTTGGACCTGGCAGCGTCTCCAAGCCTGGACTGGAAGTGCAATGTGAGCATCAGCTGCTCCTGTGAGCTCTGTGTTCCTGGGCTGGTGCAAACATCTGGCAGGCCCTTGTTTGTTTGTTTTTCCACCTCACACACATTTTCGTCATTTCTGCCGGGGATGCTCGGGGGAGGCCGTGGTACTCTGCAGGAAGCCGGTCTAGCCAGGGCAGATCTGGGCTTGCTTTGGGAGGGAAGTCGGGAAGAATGAATATTTACCCTGTGGCACCAATTTCCTGTCTAGCATTCTCCAAAAGGCAGCTGGAGAAGGCCCAGGAGCACAGATGTGTGTGCCTGGCACCCTCCTAGCAGGGCTGGGAAGGAGCCTTTGCTCTTCCCCTCTTGTCAGAGCCCTCCCTCCCTCCCTGCAGGATTCCCAGAATCAGCACTTTGCTGGGGAGCTCCTCTCCTCGGGAAACACCAGCTCATTATTCAGTTTATTCCGTTTATTGGCCCATGTGGGAAAACTCAGATGCTGCCTGGGGACAGGAGTGATGCAATGGATGGGTTGGGAGGTCCGGCAGCTCCGGCCGCTGCCGGCGGTCCCTGAGCTCCCTGGGCTGGGCAGGCACCTCCACACTGCCCGAGCTTTAATTGGCAGTGGATTTTAATGATCTCCTTCAGGAGGCTGGCTGGGTAGCTCAGTGCCACGTGCACTGCTGACATCCCGTGGGATGGGAGGGCACGGGAATTGCTGCTTGTTGCTGTGTGGTTACAATAGTAACAGAAAAAAACCCTGCACTAAACCTGATTTATTTTAAATGTGCCTTATCTAGACTGAAATTTTGTCGTGGGCTTCGTGTGAAAGGCTTTTGATGCCTCAGGTTTGGTGTGTGTCAGGTTTTACTGGGTCACAGAACATCCTGAGTTGAGAGGGACTCACCAGGATCATGGAGTCACCAGGATCATCACGCCCTGCACAGCACAACCCCAACATCCCAATGGTTCCCATCTGATCCATGATTCCCACAAGGACAAACATCACCTAACAAAAGCTGGCTTCACGTGGCCCCAAACAAAACCTCTCATCCTCGTTTTCACCTTCCTTCTCATGAAATTTATTTGAGAAAGCCTTTCTTTGTCACTTGCCAAACTGCTGGCAGCTGTCGGTTGTGGTTATGGAAATGCTTTATTTGAATAGTTATGGGAAGGAGTTTCAGCTGAGGGTTTGCTTTGGCTCCAGCTCTGGAAGCAGTGGAAGGCTGGCACCTCAGGAGGGGCAGGGAGGGCAGAGCTGTGGCTGTGAGCAGGGGAGCACAGCAGATTGCTCAGGTTTGCTCTGCCAGGGGCACGGGGGGAGACGCCACATCCCTGTGGAGCTCCCTGATGGCTCCTGGCACCGCACACCAGCCACGGGCACCCAGCCCTGCATCCCCCTGGAGCCCCCTGCATCCCCCTGCATCCCTCTGCAGCCCCTTGCATCCCCCTGCATCCCCCTGCAGCCCCCTGCAGCTGCAGCTGGGATTTGTTCTGATCTCATCACTCCTCCAGGGCTGGGCAGAATCAGAAACCCAGCCTGGTTTGGCTTGGGAGGGACCCTAAAGCCCCTCCTGTTCCCCAGACAGGGACACCTTCCCCAGACCAGGTTTTTCAGGATTTAAATCTTACTTACAAATCAAATACATGCTGAAATTCAAGTGCTCCCCTGATACCGTTGTGGGTTTGGATTTTATTCTTCTTTTCCTATTAAGTCATGTGCTGTGACAGCATAAATAATGTGACAGAGTGTCTTTGGCAGTCTGGTCATCTGCAGCGTGTCTCGAGGCTTTTGAGGGAGGGTCAAGCCAGAAGAGCTGTAGCTGTCGGACTGAGCCAGGCTGTGGAAAGGGATTCATTACCTGGCTGCACAAATAAGTTGATTATTTTCCATCTTCCAGGGTCTGTTTTCTTTTTGCTGTGTCTCTGTAAGGCCAATTAACATTAATGGGAGTTGTAGAAACAGAGCCTTACAGGAGGACCTCGTTAGCTCTTTCTTCCTGTGGTTTTCATTCCGAGCTGCTAAGTTTTATGGATTAGCAAGAATGCTAACAAATATGGGAAAGCAATGTTGGCCATTGCCATACTGAAGTGCTTACTGAGTGAATTTAATGAGTCAGGTTTGGGAATGGATTGGCAGGTCCAGAAGTAACCAGACCTCTGGAAAATCCATACCAAGGCAACCTGATCAGCCAGCTGTACAAATATCCCACTGACCTCTTCCTCTTGGACAATGTAATTCCTGGGAAGCTCTGTTTCCAGGGGAAAACCACGAGAAATTCCCACCAACTTTGCTCTCCCAGCCTGCCAGAGAGGCGTTTGTGAGGGAGTCACACACAGGGGGAGGCCCAGAGGATCTCCTTGGGTCAGCAGTACTGCAAGGATTGCTGATTTCCTGGGATAACTGCGAGTCCCAGCCATACTCCATCCAAATCAGATGGGATTTTGGTGGGTGTTGTTTATTTAATTCAACTGTGAGAAACCTACAGCCTCTGAGATCATTTCCCTGGCCTGGGGATGTTTGATTTTTCCCACATTATGGTGGGATAAGGAGATGTGCTTTCCTGTGTGGTCTCCCAAGGGGCCCTCAGGCAGGAAAGATTCTTCTCCCTGTGAGTTTGAGGGAATGTAATGGCAAGAGGGACCTGGGTTGTATTGGAATGTGAATTTGCAGGTCAAACAGTGAAATATCTGAATTTCAAGTCTATCCATGTGGATTAATTATCAGGATCACGGGATAAATGAACGTGGTTGAGCGGGAATGACAGAACTGTGAGGCAGAACACGGAGGATGGGAAACGCCCTCCTTTTCAGAGAGGTAAGTTTTGCAAGTCTTACATAAATGTAGGATTTAAACAGAGAAATGTCCCTGTGCAGTAGCTATTTTGATATTCCCAGCTCACCTTCCCAGCCCTGCTGTTTTGAAATGAGCTCTCAGGGTTGAATTTAACATCCTTACTTTCAAGAAACCAAGCACACAAAAGGACAAGGTTTCCTTTCTCGTTTTTACTGCTGTTTCCAGTCCAGCTCTGAAATGCTATATTTAGAACCCTGTGTTTTAATGCTGTGGCATGAACTTCTGGGATTTCCCCTGGCTGATATAAAATAGAAGATCTGCACTTTGGTATTAGCAGTCAGCCAGGAAATCCGTGCCTGGTGCCAGAAATGGGCCTTCCTTCATAAATCTGTATTTATTTTCATTTCCTTGTGCGGCGGTGACGTGCCAGATCAGCTGTGCTGCTGTCCTGACACGTTCTGTAGTGCCATGGAACGGGGGAAGCTGGACTGGAAAGCAGAGACAGGATTTGCCTCTGATTCACTGAGGGAAGCACAGCTGGGAAATGCTGGTTTTCAGGGGATCAGGGATGGGACTGTGTTCTGATCCCCATAAAGAACTGGCAAAAGGCACTTCCACAGGGAGCTTCACACGTTAGCAAAGTGATCAGTCCTGTCCCATTGCCCTTAACAGACTTATCTTTTATTGATTATAGATTTATTACAAAGCAGGAAAGCTGTGATCAAGTGGGCTGAAATCAATGGAACAATCCCTGGCAGTGCCCAAGGTGGGGTTGGATGGGGTTTGGAGCACCCTGGGATAGTGGAAGGTGTCCCTGCCCATGGCAGGGTGGAATGAGATGAACTTTAATCCCAAACCATTCCATGATTCTATAATGCAGAGACCTGCATGCTCTTTCAGCTGTCTGAGCAAACCTCTGTTTCAGTGTAAAATGAGGATTATTCTGCCAGTTCATCATTTCACCGCCCCTGGAGGCGTCCAAGGAAGGGCACTTGGTGCTCTGGGCTTGGATTTGGTCTTGGAGGGCTTTTCCAACCCCAGTGGTTCTGTGATTCTATGATTCAGTCCACTTTCTGTGTAGTCTGTGAAGGAAAAAGGCTCTGTGTAAATAACCTGTAATTACACTTCTTTTGGGATCCAAGTTAATTCCCAAAACTCCTGTTTCCTGTTGCTGCTCTGGCTGGTCCCTTCCCCTCGGCTGGGAAGGTTTTACAGGGTAAGGGTTACGTGAAGCACTTTCTGAAGTTCTATTTTTGAGAGTCCTGAAAGGTGACACCTGTGTGGAAGTCATTGCCATCCTTAAAATAACCGGTGTGGCAGCTCTGGGCACTGTGACATTGGTGGTGAGCAGGGACACACATGGCACGGGGGGTGGCACTGGCTCTTAGCGGGGTTTTACAGCACCAGGGACCGTGGAGTTTAATCCTGACAGGGCCTCAAGGTGTGACAGCTCGATAAATATTGAATGTGCCCTTAATCTCAGGGTGGGGAGTGCTGTACCCCCAGCAGGAAGTGCTGATCCTCCCTTTGTGAGCGCAAGATCCTACAGTGAGTATCTCCCACCGTATCGGCCCAGATATGGCAAGTGTACTCAGAGGGATATTGTGCAAAGAGCAAACAGCAGCAGGGAGGGCTTTTGTTCCCCAGGCACCGAGCCCAGGTCAGCAGGTGACAGACACACTGCAGAACTCCCAAAATTGCAGGCTTGGAATCTGATCTGATCTGGAAAGGGAGGTTCTCTCCCCAGAAAGGAGAGCTTAGTGCGGTGCCCTCCTGCAGAGGAATGGGAGAAGGGAGAGCGCAGGGACAGTGGGAGATGTTGGGAGCTGATCCCAGCGCTGGGCACCCCAAATCCTGCCGGGGGCCGTGGCTCTCACCCCACACAGCCCTTCCTCTCATCCCTGGAAGAAAGGCCAGCAGGTAAAGGTCAGGGAGCTTGTGTTTGTGTGTGTAAGTCGGGGATGTGCAGCCGTGGCTCGTGCCAGGAGGCTGCAGTGTGGGATGGTTGCTGTGTGTGGGTTTCCCGTGGCGCAGCCGTGACTGATGCCCTGTGACAGCCCGTGCGTGGCGCCTGCTGCTCTGCTGGTGCAGCTGGGGACTCTGTCGCTTCTCACCATCACCACACGACAGCAAAACTCTTTGGGAATGAAATTGTCTGCCGTGAAATGGAGGCTCACGAAAGCACTCGCCACAACCGCTGGGAATAAATTCACTTTGGCTTTATTCACAGTGCTGGGAAAAGATGGTGAAGTCTGTAGTGCACTGTCCCTGTGTGGTGTGATGGGAGTGTGGAGTCCTGAGTGGCACCTTTGGCTTTAAGCCATCAACTGCTGCACTTTGAGATGGACCCAGAGAGTGTGGCAGCAGCCAGAGCCCCTGCAGGAGCCCAAATGCAGCCTGAGGTCCCAGCAAGGCTCGGTGTTGCACACAGATGAGAGCACAGAATCCCTGAAGCTGGAAAAGCCCTCCCAGAGCATGGAGTCCAAGCTGTGCCCAATCCCCACCTTGGCCCCAGCCCAGAGCACTGAGTGCCACCTCCAGCCCTTCCTTGGACACCTCCAGGGACCAAACCTCCCTGGGTGGCCCCTTCCAAACTTTAACCCTTTCCATTATTAAATTCTTCCTGGTGTCCACCCTGGCCCAGCCTGAGGCTGTTCCTTCTCCTCCTGTCCCTGTTCCCTGGGGGCAGAGCCCAATCCCCTGGTTGTCCCCTCCTGTCAGGGACTTGTGCAGAGCCAGAAATTCCCCCCAATCCCCCTTTTCTCTGGGCTGAGCTTTCCCAGCTCCCTCAGCCCCTCTCACAGGACTGACTCTGGATGCAGGTCATTGTTGCCATTCCCTGGGGAGCAATTCCCACTGACCCATATCTGGGTGACGTATCTGGGCCACCTTTGGTGTGCCCTCCCTCGTAGCCTGGTGGCTGAATCTCCTCCCAGCCCTCCTGCACCGCAGCACTTGTGGCAGGGCTGGGCTCTGTGCGGGCTGGGAACCTCTTCAAAAACCCTCTGGCCAAGTGTTATGGCCATGGTGTGTCAACACGGCTTCCAAGCGGTGGCTGCAGGTCACCAGAGATGGGGACAAAGCTGCTGGGGCCATGTTGTGTCAACAGGAAGAAAATCTGCCTGTTCCCACGGTGACTCCATGGTGACCGGGAAACACTGGCCCATTTCACAAGCCTCCCCTGCCTCTCACAGCTCACACACACGGTTTGCTTTCCCCAGGAGCCAGGGACACCTCTTTGTGTCCTCTGACAACAGAGTCACAGCTGCTCGGGCTGGAAGGGACCTTAGAGCTCAGGGATCACTGGCAGGGAGTCCCCACTCTTCCTCCAAACATCTCAACAGCTCTGGGCCTTCTGCTGCCAGCTCTGCCAAGTTCTTCAATAGCTTTTATTTGGGATAAATCACAAAGAAACCTAAAGATTTTAAAGCAATTTTATCTAAAATCTCCTTTCTTAAACCATTTAGGATACTTTGAAGCAGCACTTTTGAAATGGCAAACAGCTTATGGAAACCATCACTTGCTGACAGATTCACAGGAATGGGGGCAAAGTTTGTGATGCTGAGCTAGAGGAGCCCCAAAACAGCCCCCTGAGGGGTCTGCAGCAGAGCCCTCAGAAACCAGCCAGCATGGAGAGGTGGTGGCTGCCACAGCTCCTGCCCCTCCCTGGGATCCACAAGCTGCCAGCTCAGCTGGCATCAGAGCCATGGGTCACCTCAGGTGGCCACGGGTCACCTCAGGTGGCCACAGGACACGACAGCTGAGCTCTTGGTCAGGGCTGTACAGGGACAGAGTCAACTCCTTTGGCCATCACCTCCCCCAATATCTACCTTTAGATAGCAGAAATAACCATTTTTGCACTTGAGAAACATTCTCTCTGTTTGGGTGGTAGCTGGGATCTTGCCCTTCCTCCTTTTGAAGTCAATGGGTTTGACAGATGAGGAAACAGGTTCTAAAGCAAAGCAAGAAAAATCTTATTCCACCTTATTTTCATCCCAGTCCTGCACATATTTGGGTTGGGCTGCTTTTTAACCAGTCTGTTGTAGCAACAGCCTGCAATCAACACACGTGCGCTGTTATCTCTTCATGGGAGATAAATTGAAATTGTCAGGCCATGCCATGGAAATGCAACATTTACATTTTCCTATCAGGATGTGCCAGGACACTGCAGAGCAATCGCAAAGCAGGAGTTGGGCACTAAAGTGAGGTGGAGGAAGGAGCAGCCTGCCCTCCTGTCAGGCACGGTATGCTGCTGTTTCAAAGTGTTTCAGAGCAGCCCAAGCAGAGCTCCAGAACTGTGTCACCACTAAATATAACACAGTCTCAGGGCTTGCAGAGACTCTCCTCACTAGGCCTTATTTGTATGGGTAATCTCATTCCCTTCGTTGTTGGCTGGGAGAGCCAAGGATTGGTTTTGCATGCTGGATCTCAGAATGATGCACACACACTGATCTTCCCCCTGGATTCAAGTGAGCCCCACCATCCTCCTTGGGGTGCTCCATCCTCTAAACATCCCGGCTTCCTTGAGTTGTGTTTTCTTTGTATCTTTTGCTGTTTTACAGCGACTCCACAGTTCCTTCATCACTGCCTGGTGTTTCTTCCAGTAGCTCACCAAGGCTGTAACATCTGTCTTGTTTCATCCATCCTTGTCCCCCTTCCAGTGGGGAGGGCTTTGTGTGCAGTTTCTGTTTTGGCAGGATTTTCAGGTTTTTTTTTGGTTTTTTTTTTAAAGCCAGCAGTAGAAACGTTTCCCTCCCTCCCTGCAGCTCCTGTGTTTAAATTAGGAAAGAGTAGATTGCTGGTGGCTGGGGGGAACAGGGAAGATTGATGGGGTTTCTGCGATCCCATGGGAGTTCCCTGGCAGGCTCCTGGGAAACTGCTGAGTCCTGCACGGATCAGCCTCACCCTCCTGGTAACAGTTCTGTTTTGCCTGAGGAGGATCAAGAGTGCCACCATTGCCATCCAGGAGCATTAGGAGATCTTAGAGATATGCCCATGAATGCCTCAAAAACAGAGAACAAAACCTCCAACCCCTCTGCACTAACAGAGGAAACTGCCCCAAGCTGTACCAGAAAAGGGTCAGGTTAGACATCAGGAGGAATTTCTTCATGGAAAGGGTTTTTCAGCATTGGAAGGGGCTGCCCAGGGAGGTGTCTGAAGAATGACTGGATATGGCACTCAGGGCTCTGGGCTGGTGACAGTGCAGTGTTTGGTGAGTCAAAGGCTGGACTCAGTGGTCCTGGAGATCTTTTGCAGCTCTAACGATCCTTTGATTCCCTCTGCAGATCCCATCCTGCTGACTGGTCTGTGCCCTCTGCCCCTCCGTGCCTGTTCCTGACTGCCGGAGCTGCCTCTGTGCTCTGCATTCCCTCCTCACTCCAGCCCTGGATCCGTGACGCTTTTCCTGGCACCCTTCCCAAGCTCTCTTGCTGCCAAGTCAGACTCAGTACAAGCATCTTGTATTCCCTTTCAAATCCTTTCCTATCGTGGCAAATAAACCCACTGTCCTCCACACACACCCTCCTGATATTATCCTTGACAGCTCTTCACTTCTGGCACTCAGCTGCTGCTTAATCATATGGTTTCTTTCTCTGAGTCACCTCATGTGCTCTTGCAGCCAAGAACTCGACTTTGATTTGGCAATGTCACGGCAGGAGCACATCCCTCGGGATCCCATTGCTGCCCCGCATGTCCCAGTGCCAGCAGCACGCTCTGTGCTGTGCTCCGGGCTGGCATCGGTGCCTCTGGAGAGCGGGACCATTCCCTCCCCTCTGTCCTCCCGCACACACCACCAGCACCCTGCGCCACCCCGCTTTTCCTCATTTTATCATTTCCCTGCTGCTTTGCGGAGTTTCTGTTCTTAGCACAGAGCGACCTGCCTGACCTTGGCTCCCAGGTAGCCCTGGCGCTCAGATCCCTTCTCCAAACATCCTCCCGCTGAGGCCCCTCTCCCCCCACGCTCTCGTCCTTGTGACATTTGCAAAGAGGGGGCAAGCGGAGCAAACCAAACAAATCCAGCAAATACCGCTGGAAAAGGGGAACCAGCGCGATGTGCAGGGAGCACCGGGAATAACCTCGCTGCCTCCCGAGCCCTGTCCTTCCCCTGACCCCTCCTGCTGCACGTCTGCTCCGCGCTGCGGGCCGGCACGGGACCCCCCGCTCCTCCCCAAATCCCCCGTGTACCCACGGAGCGATAACCGAGCTCTGCTCCTCCCTAGGAAAACAACCGGAGCTTCCCACAGGAGCTGTTTGCAGACAACGCTGCAAAACCGCTTCCCCGCGCCGCTCTTTGTACTGAGCAAATACAAGGGCTGCCTAAAGCCAGCGGGCTGGGATAAAAGTTGGATTTCTCATTGTCCGGAGAACGCTGCAGGTGTGGACACACCTATTCACCCTCCCAGCCCCTCGGCCTGTCCCGCTTTGTGCGAACAGGGTGTTGGTGTTTATGGCCTTTTTCCCCAGCTGCCCACTGGCACGGACTTTGCTCCTCCGGGCTGGGATTTCTAAGCAGCGGGAGGCTTTCCACGTGTGTTTGAGAAGGTACAAAGCCTGCCGGAAAACAATGGAAATAGCTGCCTTATGACTGCTGCGTGTCACGCACTCAGTTCTTGCCCGTTCGTTTGTCCTTGGAGCTGCTCACGCTGCCTGGAACCTGCTGCCGAGCGGTGCCGGGCGCCGGGGCTGGCACGAACAGCGGCACCGTGCCATGGGCACAGACACGGCCCGGCCGGAGCTCGAGGCCTCGGGCAGGGACCGACCCCTCCGGCCACCGCAGCCCGGAGCCACCGCGGATGTGTGGAGCGGGCTGTGCGTTCTGTGAAGAACGGGGGGTTTGTGAGGGCTTCCTGCTGGGAGGAAACAGCTGCTTCAGAGCCGAGTGCTTCTCCTGCGCTCTGCTTCCCACAGGACCCCTGGCGTGGCAGCATCCCGGCTGGCTCAGCATGGCTCTGCCAGCTTCTCCACACCTCCAGGACAGGAGATCCCCTGAAACCCTCGGACAGGCTCCCCTCAACCTTCCCAAAGGAGAGGCTCCCTCTGTGCAAGCTCCCCTCAGGCCCCAAGGACAGGTTCTCCTTTATTTCCCCTCTAACAGTCTCCCCTCAGATGCCAAGGACTGGATCCTCTCATGCACAGGCTCCCCTTTGTCCAATCTCCCTTCAGGTCCCCAAGCACAGGATCACCTCCATCTGCCCCAGGACTGGATCCCCTCACCTGCTCCTCCAGGACAGGCTCCCCTCAGCCCCTGCCAAGAACTGGATCCCCTCAGAACCCTCTGGGACAAGCTCCCCTCAACCTCCCCAGCACAGGCTCCCCCTCAAACACAGGATCCCCAAAACTGGATCCCTTTAGGTTGCTCTGGCCAAGCCCCCTTCAGCCCCTCTCCTCAGCGGGCACAGCCGGGGGGGCCGGGATGCGGCAGCCTCCGTTCCCCCGTCCCTCCCTGCCTGCTGCGTGCTGCCGCCCGCCTTCCCCCCGCCCTGCCCGGCGCTCCCC